AATGGATTTCATAAGCAGGGCAGATAAAAATAAAATGGTACTCATCCTCAACATGATTTGAACAGAAAAATACAATGTCTATATTGTCTTTCCGTATTGTTATATTGACCTGTTTTATTGCCATTTTATATGATGACAGTCTCAGTCTAGTAATACATTTGGAATGAATTTCTGTAAATAAAATTGTAAACTCTGACCTGCAATTACATGTAAATATCTGAAAAAAGAGCATTTTTCAAGGACTATCCATGTAATTGAGAAACAACATTGTTCTGAACATATTTTATTGACACAAGTCAATAGGATTGGACACAAGTTCCGAAAACTTAGGTAGTCCTTTCCCCAATGTTCTGTCTTGTTTGGTGAAAAAATCGTTACTTGACGATGAGAAAGTCTACCCATTCATTTTTTGTTTTTCAAGTTTTTCAACACACTCGTATACATTATAACAATGTTGAAAAATACAAATTTTATGGTCAAGTATTTTTTCCAAAGCTTATTTATGCTATATATTCTTTTGGTAAAGCAGAAGAAATCGTCCTTATGCAGAATATAGAACAACAATACATGTCTTCCTTTTTACTCCTAAAACATGTTTACAAAAATCAATATGACGTTTTTCAATGTTAGGTGCTTTATGTGGACCCCAAACTTCAAAAGCATAATTTACAATACTGCCTACAAATCGGTCAAACATGGACAACAATGTTTCATGGTTAAAGTACATATTTCTAATATTCTTTTTTTTTTAAAACAAATACATGTGTAATGCATCCCTACCTTGACCAGAAAGTTGTTTTTATAATTAAAAATAATATCCACGTAGGTAAATTGATCAACGATTTCAAGTTTTTGTTCACTATTAATATACCATTTTTTCACATTCTTTTACCCTTCTCTGCAACCAATAATAATTAATTGATATGTATTTTCCCTGTTTCATGTTCTAAATTAATTTGATAATGGATTTAACACTGATTGATTCAGGGGGGTAAACATGTCATCTGCAAATTCGAACAGTGGTGAAAAAATATATATATACTGATAAGATTTCAAATGATACATATTCAGAATTTAAAAGAGCATTTCCAAGTTATTTATATGCATGTTGAATAAATTAAATGAAAGTATATATATCTTTGAATCATATGAAGATAAGTACAATTGATTGAAAGATAGGTTCATTCAATTAAAGATAAAACAATAAATTAAAACATCTCCACAAAAGATTTGAAGATGTGAATATATATAGTTACATATAGACCTTTTCATAAACATCATTAATGTTTCTAACTGCAAATAAAGCAAATTATATAATTTATTGAGACGACCTTGAAATATATAAATTACAATGTATCTGTAGATAAGTAGATGGTCTTGTTGAATTGATTCCTGCACTACATATCCTCTCCTTTACTCTATAAGTTAATTCTTTGCTTCTTTTCCATCAGGAATATCTACCTTCTCTCCTTTTGGTTTTTATTTTGTAGGATTTGCTTCTCTTTTCCTACTCTTCACTGATACTATACTTTCCTGTTATACACTCAATGATCTTCTTCTCTGCTATCATACTTCTTGATGATATACGTTAGTCATTTGTACATCTTCTTTGAGTTTATACCTTTAATTTTTTCATTTTAAAGAATATTTTCCTTATGTAATTCTGTTGTGTCACACTACACAGTAAAATGGGCGTCTCAAATATAAAATATGACAAAAGCTTTGATTAACTTAACAAAGGCATGAACTTTATTTTATAGCGCAGGTTTTCATAATTTGCATATTCAGTAATTGAATCCCTGGTTGTACCTTCATAATGCATCAAAATATACAATAAATTTTTGTTCTGTGTCTGAGCGCTGTAAATTCTACTCTGTTAATATTAATACATTTGAATGTTCCTTTTGTTAACTTGCAGTGCTCAAATTTTTCTTGAATTTTTCTTTTATAAGATTTATAGATTTCTTGGAATGAGGATTATAGTGGCATTATTCTACCCCCTACTTGCACGATAAATTATGCTAACAGGCGGGAAAAGTTTGTCAACATGCAAGATAATTATGTCTACATGCATAATAATTGTGTTGATAAGCAAGTTATCAATCTTTTTAGAGAATCTAATTTTAATGTTGGTAAACTTACTTACTAACTATGGTGGCATATATTTCTGCCCCCTACATGCAAGATAAATTATGTTAACATGCGAGAAAAGTATATCAACATGCTAGATAATTATGTCTACATGCATAATACTTATGTTGACATGCCAGTTACCAATCTTTTTAGAGAATCTAATTTTAATGTTGGTAAACATACTTACTAACGCCGGTATACGGCATCAAACAAGCAAGATGCAACAGAATTATGTTAACATGCGACTTATTTATATTAACATGCAAGATAATTATGTTAACATGCAAGATATTAATGTCAATATGCGACTTACTTATGTAAACATGCAACATAATAATGTAGACATGCGATTACTTATATCAACATGCAAGATAATTATGATAACATGCAACTTATTTATGTCAACATGCGATTTATTTATGTCAACATGCGAGTTATATTTTAACATGACATAATTAACTCGCATGTTAACATAATTATCTTGTATGTTGACATAAATAAAGTTACATGTCTACCATAATTATCTTGCATGTTGACATAAATAAATCGCATGTCTACATAATTATCTTGCATATAAACATAAAAAAGTCGCATGTCAACATAATTCTGTTGCATCTTGCATTGTATCATGCACATAATGGCGTTGGTGAGTAATTTTACCAACATTAAAATTAGATTCTCTAAAGAGATTGGTAACTTGCATGTCAACATAATTATTTGGCAGGTTGACATAAATAAGTCGCAAGTTTACATAATTATGTTGCATGTTAACATAATTTATCTTGCATGTAGGGGTCAGAAATTTGCCACCATAACTAACGCCTGTATACGACATCATACAAACAAGATTCAACAGAATTCTGTTAACATGCAAAATATTTATGTCAACATGCAACTTATTTATGTCCACATGCGACTTATTTATGTCAATATACAACTTATTTATGTCAAAATGCGAAATATATGCCACCATACAGAATGGATTAATAGACCCCTTTTCTTATCCTTAGTTGATTACATCCTCTTTTTATGTTGATACTCTATGGGTACATTGTATATTACATAGAGGATATTTAATGTTTTGTAGTTGAATATGATATTTATTTCACAAATGGGAATGAATTTTTAAAAATATTTTCACAAGTGCGAATATCAAAAAATCCTGTCTCATCCTGTAAAATAAATTTCATATTCAACTCCAAATTATTGAATTTTCCGTTTATTACATTTTCTTTTGATTTTTCCTTTGCCTGTCTTTTCGTAACACAGTGGCATAGGCTGTGACATCATAGCGAATGTGAGATTGAAAACATTGTAAACATCGATTTCAAAAACGTATTACGAGAAACATTGGCAGTTTTAGTTTCTGTCAGGATGGTTTATTTACTCTATTTTATAACAGGCCAGGGATTACGTGTAGTCTTTGTGAAGGGAAGGAAAATCTAGAGTTTCCTGATATTCTTTCACACTGTGACAAAATATCGCTTTTATTTAATAAATAAATTACAGTATTTCACTGTTGAATAATAATAAAGAATGTTTCTTAGTCGAAAATTGTCCTCCCGAACAAATATCCACCAGTTGTCTTCTAATTTACTTTCATTTTCTTTGTATTGACTCATTTTTTCTGTTGTCAGATAATTAAAGAACTACTCCACTCACTTCCTTTGTAACTTGAGGATAATTATTTTGTGCAAGCCAACCAATTAAAACAAATTACATGCAATGTTTCACAGTGTAACGTGTAATGATTGGCTCCTGTTTCTGTTAAGAAATGAATCACCAGATCACAAGGGGACACGGGAATGCGGGCCAAGAAGCAATGTGTTGCTCAAAATCATCTTTCATTCAGCTAACTGTCGCTTTATTTAATCAAAATCTCCATTACTGAGAATTCATTGCAAATCCCTTGGGAGCTTTTAACGCTTGCGAAAAATTGTGAAAATATTTGATGATAATTAGTTGAATGTATTGACACCTGCATCCGATATTAGTCGCACCGTAAATGGATGACATCGAAACTGTCTTATAATCCATTTCAGTTATCTAACGTAACTAAAAGGAAGTAAGAGAAACGTACTCACTATCTGGTGGCGGGACAAGAGAGAGAGGTCCAGTAGAACGGGCTATAATAAGCTCTGAGTCAGGGGATTGATATTGTAAACGTGGACATCAGCCAATCCAATCCCAGAGGAACGATTTTGTCACGAGAAGATATTATAAGGGGATAAGAGAAAAAATTGCTCATTTTAACCTTAATTGTAAATTCAATGATTCAATTAGAAAAATGAGCAAACGAGTTAAAACAACGACAAAATAACGGCTTCGTTTCTAGAATCTGACTCAGTTAATGTGTTCTTTTAGCTAATCTTTGTCAATTATCTCCTTCTATAATTCATACGAGTAATTTTATCGTTTTCCTCCAAATAACAAAACATCGATTTTTGGTTTTTGTTTAATTAGCTCTGAATTATTGGAGTTATTTGATATTCTTGCTCTGGAATTTTTCAATTTCGTTGTGAGGACCTACAAGTTGTAGAAATACTCTTGATAACTTTGCCAGATTTGTAGTTTCCTAAAACGCATAACATGAAGCAGCATTAACGTATACATCTATTTTATATTATATACACAGTGAATTATTTAATGAGAATGTGGCATTTGATATAGTGCCGCTCTCATATTTAACTATATGTACTAAGAATTCTTAACATATAAAAGAGTAGTTAAAACCAAGGAAGTTTACATATTATATATTTGATGATAATTTTCATTTGAAATGTTTTGATATATTTTTTTACAGCCAGTAAATACTCTCATGTCATGATGACAAAGTCTATAAAACCCTTGATTTCTTTTTTTTTCAGTGTTGGTGATGATTGCTGGCCTGTTCATCTATCCTCTGGGGTTTGATTCTAAGTTTATCCGGAAACACTGTGGAGAGAAATCCCTCATGTACAACAGTGACCAATGTGAGATAGGCTGGGGCCTCGTTCTGGCCATCGTGGGGACAGCCTTGGCCATGTTCTGTCCAGTCCTCTCTCAGTACACAGACATGCAAACCACAGACCTTGTCTGATGCCAAGCATCATAAAACTCGTATTATGCATTTATATAATATATGTCATTGTGTATACATGTGCTCGTTAGATTTCATTAAATATTTGGAAACAATATTTTTTAAAAAAAATTGTCAATGTCACCACGTAAGATTTTTTTTTTTACTGAAGCCGAATACGTATATGTTGTAGCTGTAAGGATCCTTCAGCTGGTCTTCCAAACAGTGAAAGCTGATAAAGGAAAAGAATGTGTCAAATTTCCATATAAAAATGATTAGGTACAAATCACATTGTGATAAATGAAATAAATTCCAGGAATCGCTTTGAATCAGATTGGGCTCCCTATTTCTAGTATACGGCACACTAATAGATAAATCATATAGTTATACATGTAATCCGATAACATTATAAGAAACTTTTAACGAATAAGCAAGAGTTTTGTTCATCTCTAAAGCCATTTTCTGCTGTCGATCATCTATTTAAAAGAACATCGGTAGGCTTTAACACGACAAGAACCTCACTGCACAGACAAGCTAATGTCGCGTAATCATACCTACATATAGATGGAATATCAACATAATAACCGCAGTGGCAATAACTAGTTAATTCTGAAAAGCACAGGACCTGTGGTGTCTTTGAATTAATATTTAAAGAAATAACAATAGTATACTAGTTGCGATTAAACGAATAATGTTGATCGTCATAAAAAAGAAGACTGTTATCGTGTCTTTCTATAGAATTTTGGCATTAATTGTAGTTTCATTATTTATAAGTTTCCGTTTAACGGTGAACTATACAACTCCACGGCAATGACATCCGGTAATCCAGCGCTGTTCCAGATTTTCTGACATTCGGTTGTAGATGATTAATTAGAAAACTACTGAATTTCATTGAAATATAATAAAAGGAAGAGGTTCGGCATCAGGACAAATCAAAGGAATCGCTTATTTTATTGTCATTAGAAAAAATCCGCGCTATGAAACAAACACATTCACGTGTAGTCTTTGTGATTTCTAATTATCTTCGGGTTCAGACACCAATGAATGCATCTGGGGGAAAAAAGTCGTTTGGATCATGTAAGACGGCATATAACCAGACTACCTGACAATATGCTATGAATGAAAATCTAAACCATGATACTTTAATTTCTTTAAATATTTTCATGCTTGTTTGATTTTCAATGAAGAAAAAAAAAACCAGTTACATTGAGGGTAATCTCATACAGTTTTGCGGCATTTTATATACCACGCAAAACGACAAGAACAACAGCAAGGAGAACAAAGGATTACATATTATTCTTGGGCGATAAAACATAACCATTCCATAAAAACAATATTAATTGGTTAAAGCACAATTTCTGATCTACATTACGTTCTTTTGGTCGTTGAGGGCATATTGACGTACTGCAGAACTGCCCAAAATGCAGACACAAGACCTTGGTTTCAATAAAATCAGGAATGCAGGGACGCAGTTTTGTAATTAAGATCATCACAGCAAGGATAAGAATTTTTTGTACCACACGAAGGTTAAATGCAAATTGTTTTCCTATCTGTTCGTATACATATCTCCTTTAAGTCTCTTTGTAGCTCTAAATGAACTGATTAGCATCAAAATAGTGATCATGTGCAGACATGGCAACATTCAAAAGGAGTATTCAAGGAATAAACAATAGTACATTATAAAACAACAATACTCTATCTAAAATAAATAAAGGTGATATATGGGGACGATACTCTTACACACATTTGAATAGATTCGATTTTTTTCTGTTATTATATATCGTTTGTTTTGAGAGGATATTTCTTGCTTGAATAAGCGAATAAGCTTATGATATATTTGTAGCCATCCACTTAATTTGACCATGTGACTACTACAAAGTGATCACACTTACGTAACTCTATCTTACGAGAGGTTGTATGACTAATAAAATCAACTTTAATGCGATCATTTGGTAATATGAAGGCAATGAACAGTAATCAGGATCAAATGCCCAAATAACAGCTTAATTTGAGAGCAGAGCAAACACGGAACCCTGAAAAAAAATCAGAGGTGGGATCAGATGCCATGGAGGAGTAAGCATCCCCTGTCGACCGGTCACATTCGCCGTGAGCTTTTTGTCTTTTTGATATTAATTCGCAGTCAGTTCAGTATGTAAATAATGGCCTAACAATTGGCATTGGAAACTTCAGTCAACATTCGACCTAATTACAAACAAGGTCCTTATATCGACCTTCGAATTTGCTAAAAAACTACTTTTCTAGGTAGGAAGTCCATTACTGAAAGATTATATTCACAGAATACAGCAATCGTTGATTTCCAATCCACAGTTAAGTATTTAATCTGAGCAGGAAAAGGATTTTAATATTAAGACATTATTGTTTAAGGGTATATCACGTCGAACAGAGTCAAGGATACATTTAATGTCGTTTTATGCCTTTCGACACGCTCACGCAAAAGTCACTTCATCATTCAAAACAAAGAATATAAATTAAATAAAAAGACCCAAGGGTGTCTAAATGATTTCCATCAAAGTTTAAAATAAAGTTCCCTACTTAATTCAAAATATCCTAGAAGGAATGAGTAACTATTTGCGAGAGCAATCTCTACACATCTACAAGAGAAAGTCTAGGAATCCTGGTATCAATTGGCATTCAACGAATTCACTATCTTACAATATCTTGTCATGTCTTTCATAGGAAACACTAAATAACAAGATGGCTTGTTTCGTTATTGCTTTGTGTGATACAACAAACAACTTTTTACAGATAACAGAGGAAAAAGTGAGAAATCTCTGCTGATATACCGAAATGAATTTCACAAAAGCAGAATCCTAGCGATTACAAATTCCGTCTAGAACCCATAAAGAGTGATTGCGTAATTTTACAACAAAAAAGTTGCAAGAAGTATTTTGTCACAGTGTGAGATTTTAATTTGAAGCACACTTGAAAAAATAAAATTTTCGCGTCTCGTTTTTTTTTATTCAGAGAAAAAATACACCAAATAAACAGTCTTTTTATGATGTTTGTTTTGACACATTGAATTAAGCGAACACAGTTGTTCTCCGTAACTAGAGACTTGATTTTTGTTTACACATAGCACCTTTTAGACACGTTATAATTATACAGCATTTAGACAGAGGCTCTTCATCAGCAGCAGGAAGCGCTAACCGGCGGCCAATAAAAACAGAGGCATATTTTCTGCACCTAACACTGCACATCTGGAGAATTTAGAAATGTCAAAACTGAATTTTGGCCCCTTTGATTTATTTGGCTCACTCTGCCTCCGATCCGTCGTCACTTGAGTAGCTTTATTCTGGTAGTACTTACGTCTCCCGGACTCCGAGGTGCGACTTGATCGGGGTTGGCAGGAACATGGAAGCCACCCGCCCTCGCCCATTGGTCAACGTCATTAATACTGAGATATCCTCCTACAAATCTACAACAGGCACTCTTTAATGAATATTTCACATGTTTGACGAATAAAGATTTCAAAGAGCACAAGGGGAGGCCATCAATCAAAGTTAATTGTTCTCTATCGCTGCAGGTGGAATTATGATTCACGGGTCTAATAGCCAAACATTTATGATAGAGAGATAATGAAGATTTTTATACTGTCTTAATCACAACGAATGTCAGCAGAACGTGCATGAGTTATGGATAAAAGGTTGCTGAATTGACATATTCTTAAAACTGACGTTGATTACAACTTCCTTTGCTAAGTTTAGCAAATTGATTGATTTGTCAAAGCTTGTTGTTTTTTTAACCTGGCAAAATGCTTTGCAATATTGTGAAAGCGTCAAAGTAGAGAAAATATTATCATTCAACTTTCATATGGTATTCTTTAGTTTCTACAAACTTATTTTGATGCATCTAGATCGAATTCATCCGGAGGGGAATATAATATCATATATGATAAAAATAGATATCCGAGAGCCCGTATATATACCTCATCATGAGTTTTATTATTTAAAATTGCATAGTAATGACTTAGTTTGCGCCCCTCCTTCCCATACAGCTATTAAAACTAGATTCCTCCTTATCAACTAGATATAGGCCCCCAGATCTGCTACCGTGTATTCAAAAGACTCAAATAAGCTTTTCTGATCAAGCTATTGCTCTCGTCTATCTGTTCCATCTTCCTTGAATGGTAGGTTTCACGTTTTCTTTACCTCTTTCTTAAATTTTCCGTTTTTTTCCTTCGGTACTGTCATTAGTTCAGTCTACATGAACATGTATCTACACTGGCATGTAGCCTTTATTCGAAAACTAGGAATAAGAAGATATTAATATATTGTAAAATTTCTCAAGGATATATAACGAAATTTGATCAAAGCGGTGGAAGCCAGAAGAGACAATGGAAGAGACCGCTGGTATTACGTACATGTACAGAGTGTATATGTGTGCATATTTAAAATTTATATTTTTTTAGGAAAAAACCCTGCACTTTGTCAAATTATTTTTCAGCATTTGAACTTCAGCACCATTAACTTGAAGCATGAAATTAACACAACGATCACAATAATCGTTATTATTAAACCTTTTTTTTTTTTTTGGTCTAAAAATACTGAATTTTATTTTATAACGTTAAATTTAAAGTACTGCAAGCATATAATACTAGTGTTTAAGTTATAATTGTCATATACTAAATGTAAGTATAGGTTCAAGGTAGTATGATGATTTAAAAGTTGAAACACAAAATAATTTATTTCCTTATACACCGGTGAGTATACCATCAGCATTTGTTCAAGAAACATATATCAATTCAGTCATGTATCAGAATATAATACGTACAATTTGATTTAATGACAGATAATAAACATGCACCAAAAAGGACCAATGTTTAATGCTCATAAATATTCTTTTTTAAAATTTAAACTTCTGACTCTATAAAGGAAATACGGTAATCAGACAATAACCATCAATGGAATATGGAGATTACGAACAGTATTCAAGATCAAAAGTCCATTCAAACAATACAAATCAGGAGCAGGGCAAACACGGACCTCTAAAACATCATAGGTGGGATAAGGTGCCATCATTTCCCCTGCCGACAGGCCACACCTGTCGTGTGCTCCTTGTTATAATCGGTGAAAACGGAAAAATCCGTAGACAATTCAG